AAGAAAATGATTATATGTTTATCAGTAGCATATAATTTTAAGTTGGGGATGATGGTAATGCCAGCCAATTGCAGATTGCCCACACTAGTGGATGACATACAGTGATGCCTTTGCTTCCTGATGGTTCAGTACATACCAATTTTGCTTTGTCACAGAGTCATTAAAAATATTGTATAAAATATATTCAGGGTCTGTGTATACAGTGTATAATGAAACGTAAATGTATTTCATGTTTAGATGTGAGTCCTATCTCTAAGATATCTCATTATGTATATGCAAATGTTACAAAATCCGAAAATATCTGAAATCCAAAACACTTTTGATCCTAACATTGTAGATAAGGGATGCTCAACCTGTATATACATTCCAGAAAATGCAAAACTATATAAAAACAGTAAAAAGAGCAGTTGTTTTCAGGGATTAAGGGAGAGGGATGAATAGGTACAGCACAAAGGATTTTTCAAGGGCAGTAAAACTACCCTGTATGAGGCTTAATGGTGGATATATGTCATTATACATTTGTTCAAATGCATAGAATGAAAAACACCAAGAGTGAACATCTTAATATAAACTGTGGACTTTAGGTCTGTGCTCCCTAACTCCCAGGTCGCACACCAGTTCCAGACTGTGGCTTGTTAGGGACTGGGCTACACAGGAGGATGTGAACAGCAGGGAAGGGAGTGAAGCTTTATCTATATTTACAGCTGTTCCCTCATTACTGGCATTGCCTGAGCTCCACCTCCTCACATCAGCAGTGGCATTAGATTTTCATCGGACCAGGAACCCTACTATGAACTGTGCATGTGAGGGATCTAGGCTGTGTATTCCTTATGAGAATCTAATGTCTCCTCCACTTCCTCCCCTACTTTTATGGAAAAACTGTCTTCCAGAAACCTGGTCCCTGGTACCAAAGAGGTCTGGGACCATGCTTTAGGTGACAATGTGTTAAGGTAGGTTCATCAATTGTAATAAAGGTATCACTCTAAGAAAAAATGTAAACAATATGGGAAACTGTGAGGCAGGAGAGGGAGTAGATCCAAGGGAACTCTTTGTACTATTTGACTAATTTCTCTATAAACCTAAAATTGCTTTTTAAAAAAAGATTACTAATGTAAAAAATTTAGGTCATCTTCGGCAGATTCTATTAACTAATTATTCTGAAAATTGTTAAACAAAGAGAAAGATTCAAGTATTTGATGTCTTCCCAAGATATACAGAATCTCTGGAAGATCAAATAATAGATATCCAAAAGTTTTTCTTTACAGACATATTCCAGCTAACAAGGGAAGGAGAGATATCTCCACTTTGCATCTCTTTGCATCAATTAATCTATCTAGGCAATGATCATCAAAGTCTGCTAAGAACACAAAAAGAGCCATGACCAGATAGAAGAATAAACCATTATCTTGAAAGAAAGAAAGAGAGATAAAGGAGAGAAACAAGAGAAAGAGAAAGAAGGGGGGGGGGGAGAGCAAGGAAGAGAAAAAAGACAAGTGTCAGTCTGATAAAGCCTCTCAGATCTGACACCAATTTACAGAAAAGAAACCATACAGATCACAAGCTAAATGGCACGATGGGGATGCAATCAGCAAAATCCATATTTTGGGAAACTATAAAACAAATAAATGACCAATCTCTTTAACTGATAAATCTCAAGGGGGAAAAGAGGTGGAAAAAAATGTTTACATTAAAAGAGACTATGAGTCAGGGCAATCAATCTCCATGTGTGAACTTTACTTGATTTCGATTCATATTAACAAACTCAACATTAAAAAATTATCACACAATTGTTAATTTGGACGTTAGACATTCGATGGTATTTTAAAATCATCAAATTTTTGTGTGTAATATTGTGGGGGGTTTTTTCTGTCGGTTCCTCCTCCTATGTGCTTTTTTCTTGTTTACCTCTTTGTGCACCTTTTTCCTTCTCATTTCCTCCTTTGCTTCAAATTAACTTGTCTCAGAGTTTATGTGATAAGAGACCACTTATGTGATGAAGAGACCTTGTCTCAGAGTTTATGTGATGAAGAGACCTCTTGGTATGAGGTCAAAATGAGAAGAAAGGTAAATGGCTCGGCGCCTGTGGCTCAAGTGGCTAAGGCGCCAGCCACATACACCTAAGGTGGCAGGTTCGAATCTAGCCCAGACCTGCCAAACAACAATGACGGCTCCAACCAAAACATAGCCGGGCATTTTGGCAGGTGCCTGTGGTCCCAGCTACTTGGGAGGCTGAGGCAGGAGACTCGCTTGAGCCCAGGAGTTGGAGGTTGCTGTGAGCTGTGATGCCACAGCACTCTACCCAGGGGGACAGCTTGAGGCTCTGTCTCAAAAAAAGAAAAAAAGAGAGAGAGAAGAAAGGTAAGGAGCAGGCAGGGAGAAACAGGGCAAAAAGAAGACAAGAGTACAAAAAGAAGGAAAGAGTAAAAGAAACGAAAACAGGAAAAAAGAGGAAGGGGGAGTAACAGAAGAAAAAAAAACTTGGAGAACAGGAGAGAAGGAGGTCAGGAAGAGAAGCTGAGAGTGATGAAAGAAATTATATTGATCAGCACAGTGCTAAGACCAGGCTTGTAAGTCAAGGGTTTTGAGGGGGCTGGACTGGGAGGGTTCCTTGAAATCAGGTAGTCCTTAGCAGCCTAGGTGGAGCCAGACTCTGCCTCTGCCAAAACTAGGAAGTGAAAGAAAAGAGCAAAACCCCCAAAATACTAAGGAAAAATTAAGTAAGAATGAAAACAAAACAGAAAAATTCTGTAGTGTGGTCTTGCCAATACTATTTTCCTAGGGCCAGAGGTAGAAAGATCTTACTTAGCCCCCTTCGGCCAGACCACTGCTGTGGCCTACCTACTGGGCTACAGCTATATCCCCCCAGCTCTCAGTAAAAATAAATAAATAAATAAATAAAAGAAAAAAAAGAAACAAGATAAGAATAGATCAAGGAATTAAAAAATACCATTATATCTAATAGAGGAGAGGCAAGTGAAGTAAAGAAAGAAAGGAGAAAGACAAGAAAAAGGGAGGGAATATCTTAGCTGTTGCAGAGGCAATTATTGTTGGAGAGATGAGAAAGGTAGAAGAGTCTCTGTCCAAAGAGAGAATGTACAGGAGTGGAATAGGGAAAAAGGATAAATAAGTCTAAAATACGGTAACCAAAAAAATACAGGAGCTCTTGCTCTTGATGAAAGGAAAAATAGAAGTTAAGAAAAGAACCAAAGATACAAATAATCAAGAAACAAAACATATCTATACAAAATAATGAAAAGCTTTAATAACCAAAAATAAGCAACCTCAGAAACAAATAAGTGAAGAAACTGAAAAAAAAAAAAAGAAAAAAGAAAAAAATACTAACGAGAAAACTTTTTTAAAAAACTAATTATATATATGTGTATATATACACACACACACACACACATATATATATATATACATAAAAGCACACACACAGACATATACATATGGTGGCAGCATCTGACTTTAGTAGGAATATATTTGTGTTGCAATATATTGCCAGGACATCTGGTAGCCCTGTAGTTTTAGGGGGCAGACAACACAGCTGATAACTCTCTCTAGAACCCAGGCAGAGACCTGATCCCCAACTTAATGTCCATGGTGATCGCCTGATTATGTCCTCAGCATTCAGTTTCCACCTGGTTGGGAACTCAGATCTCTCCAGACTCCTTCAGAGGCAGGTCTCACTGCGTCCCCAGGTGACAGTTCCCAGGGGGTGCGAGAATCCCTGAGCCTGTCATGACTGAAGGTCCAGTCCCAGCAGATCGAACTAAGATGCTATGTCCCTGTAGGAGGCTCACCCTCATGACCTTCTCACAACCTTTCCACAATGGCTGACCCCTTGCTGCCAGGACCTTCCCAGAATGGCCGTCTTTACCGGGGGCAAATCCACTCCAACCAGCCCTAAAATCTGGCTGATGTATAATGTTCTGGTGAGCCCACTCTTCCAGGTTATCCACTCAACACCGAAATTTTCAACAAGGCTTCATCACGACCTGAACCTTCGCAGCCTCCTGCAGCGACTCCTGGTAGTGGCTCCCCCCAACGGCTCTGGCAAGACTTGCCTAGTGTGTCAGACCTCCACCCCACTGCTCTGGTTCACCTGCAGCAACCAGCACCCTGCTGCCTTACTGCACACCCTGAGCCACAGCTCCAGGCAAAATTTCCTCTCCAAATGCAGCCCAACTAACTCTCGTTTCTCAGTTGATCTCAGAGAGCTCAGCAGAATGGTCTCCCTGACTCTGTGGTTGTGTTTTTTAAAAAAGTTATAGAGCTTCACAGATGAGATAGTGAAGTACTTGGGATTTAATTCAACATAAAATAGAAAGGGGGGATAGCGGTGGGGGCATAGATAAAAGAAGACTGGTCATTAATAGAAAATTATTGAAACCAGTTGATGGGTATGTGGAAGTTAACAATAATAAAATGGAATCACTATGTCAAATCTCTAACCAAAATGGGAGTTGGGGAGGTCATAAAGACAAGAAGTACACAAGTAAAAAGAAGTGAAAACAAGTTCTTTACATATCCAAGTTACAGTCTGTCACTGATGTTCCAGAAGTACTTAGAAAGAATAAGAATATGCCTTAATTCACCTTTCAAAGGAGGCACACGTATATTCAAATAAAAGTTTTGATACAAGCCCAAAGTATGCTATTCAGACAGAAAACTCAGATTCTCTGAAAGAGTAATAAAGACCATATACTGGAAAATTTTACATTTACTGTATATGTACTGGCTACACAGTCTCTGAACTCATAAAATGGGTGAATTTAATCAAGTAAAACAAAAGCTTAAACATTCTGAAGATCAGATCTTCACAACTGTTAAAATTAATGAGAAAAACTACAATCTCCTGAGTCAAAATTTTATTGTAAATTATTATTAGAGTTCTAGAGTATATGAAAAGTTTTCTTAACACATGACATACGAAGATGTTAGCCCATTGAACTACAATAGAAAATATTTTAATATGATCTTTAAAATCACTAATATGCTTATTTTTCCTTGTGCATGTATGCAGTTTGTTTAAATGAACTTTTCCATGGTATGTCAAGTAGATTTAAAATTTTTATATTATTCCTTAATAACCTCCTAATAAGATTTGCAGTTTCCGCTTGACCTGTACATAATATTTTTTTCATTTTAGTGAATACTACAGAAGCTCTTTCTTTCAACTCTGATGGAACGTATCTGAGATCTAAATATTCATATAGGTTATATCTAGAATTATACAGCATTTTAATAACAGTTTCAATGTCATCACCAGTTTGTCCTTGTGCAAATAACTGGGATCTGTACATTGTCTGTAATTTATGTTCCGCTGCCATTGCAAGAGCAAGGCTTCGTTTTAGGTGCTCCTTGGCGGCTTTGATGTCTTCTCTATATGCTGGATTGCTATTATCACGAGGAAGTGAATTTTGCACCAGTAAGTGAATATTTAAAATTTTTCTCAAAATTTCATCAATATTCACAGTCTGTGGGAGTGTTTCTATTTCACCTTCGCCTGAGAGCTGAGGAACATCTTCTGAATCGGTAGAATAATAATAAGTAGAGGATGTATGGAGTGAGGTGACTTCTGGTGCCTCAGTTTGTGTCTTCCTCTTAGTTGGCTCTGGCTCTGGCTCGAGCTCTGCCTCTGCCTCTGGCTCTGGCTCATGCTCAATATAAGGTTGGTCTGCATGTAAAACAATAGAAACATTATTCGGTTTTATCGACCAGAATGGTGTACGTTGAGTGCTTGTTTTCCTCCCTACTTCAACTGTGAAGCCAGTAGTAGGCAAAGTTGTTTTTCCTTCACTGATAGGAGTGATTATAACATCATTCTCAAATGAACTTGTTTGTTGTATACTTATCTCCTTAGTGTTTGATTCTGTAGAATAAGCATTTTTTGAAGACTTGACTTTTTTCTCACGGCCTGGCTCCCTAGTGGGAACACGAAGCATTAGGTTCTCTAAAACGTGTACATAATGGTTCAAGTTTTGTTCTTCATCAGGTGTCACAGTTATGCCTTAAGGGAAAAAAAATCAAATAAATAATAAGTATTATTTACTAATATATATGACACATTGACAGAATTTACTGACCTAAATTTATTTTATATGTTATCACTTAAAATTTGAGATAAAGAACCAAGAAGCAACATACCTTTGACATGGGTGTCACTTAAATAAATAAAATTATTTTTTTAAGTTCTTATTAAAATAAATGAGCAAAATTAGTGCAAAAATTGTGTATTAACACAATTCTTTCTATACTTTTTGCTTTTCTTCTCCCATGTAACTTATAATTCAATAGGGAACTTATTAAACCAAAATTCTTGATTATGTCTTCTAACATAGTGGTGTGCTAGAATAGGTTCATACTAGCTCATTAGAGCCAATTAATAAATATCTAGGAAGTCTATGAATCAGATATTGAACACAGATCTCATCAAAAGTCAAATTACCTAAATTTGCAATCAAATCAAATTATATTAAAAACAAAGATTATAACCCAAACTCATCACTTCCTAATTATTTTATTTTACTATTACATATACTCTTGAGGTTATTTACATATACATGTGATGAAAATATACCATAAAGGTGTGCTACTATACATCTCTTTCTACCTCCCTTTTCAGTGATATCAAGTTTGTAGCTTGAAATCGACTACAGTGGGAGTATTTACAACATGTAAATGAGCAAATGCTACAAATCAGGGCTTCCTCCTCTCTACCAAAAGTCAGTTTTAAACATTTGCCAGTGTACTACCCCCTCATCACAACAATGATCAAATTAGTCTGTGGGTCATATTCATTCAACTGTTTTTGTAAATAAAGTTTTATTGGCACCACAACAGTCTTGAGTTTATTGGAACCTGATTATGTGTTTATGTATTATCTATGGGTGTTTTTGGCTGCAACAGTAGAGTAGTTGCAAGAGATCACCACATGGCTTGCAAAAGCTAAAAATACTTAACTATCTGACCCTTTAAGAAAAAGTTTGTCAATTACTGGTCTAAATCATTAACAATTCACTCTTAACATCAAAATGGCCATTCTGTTTTTATTGATATTTTATAGCATCTAAGCAATAAAGCCTCTCCTAACCAATGTGGGCAATAGAAAAAAGTACTGAATAAGATATTCTGGAATTTTGTTAAACTTCACTACTCCTGAATCAGGAGTACTCTGAATTACATATAATTTAAAATTGATTTTGCCATTATCACATACATAATGATTTAATTCAGGGAAGTAAGTCACTTTTTACCAAACTCTAAGGCACACTCCTACCTGAACCATCCCACTGCAGGCTAAATAAAGTAGTAACTTTCTGTTCAGGAGGTACTTTCATTTGGCTTTTCATAAACCCAAAATACTCAAAAATTGCTTTATATTTACATGCTTCTTCCCTCTTCTTTATCTATGCTGTTACAACTTAGAAAGACAAGATGGAATTTCAACCAAAATTGGAAGAATATTTCTCAATTTTTAAAATTTTTTTAAAAGGGTGGCGCCTGTGGCTCAAAGGAGTAGGGCACCAGCCCCATATGCCGGACGTGGTAGGTTCAAACCCAGCCCCAGCCAAAAAAAAAAAAAAAAAAAAACTGCAAAAGAATTTTTAAAACTACTAGTTTACTGGGGCAATATGGTAGTGGAAAGATACCAGACTTGTCTGGTGATGAGGATTCTGCATTTTATGTCATGCTTAGAAAAGCCTGGCATACGCTAAGATTTATATGATGGATGGTAGGTAAAAAAGATATAGAACAAGGGCAGATATTGATACATGTTGTTATCCTTAAAATAATTTTTAAAATCACTCACATAGTATCATATATTTTGTGAACTGCAAACTTTTTTAGTGGACTGGAACTCATATGGGCAATTGCCTCTGAGAGAGAATGGGACTGAATTTGGTCACAAGGTAATGTGGATTTATCTATGTTTTACTTCCTAAACATATACACAAACACATGCACATTCCCCAATAATTTAATACAGTAAATCATTATGATTATATAATCATAATTATTAAAGTTCCAAGAAGTTTCATTTTTCTCCTGTTTTTTAATTTACAAGCAAAAATAACATAAAAGTTGTATTTAGAAAGGAAAATAATTTATATATACTCATATTTATAAAATGTACTATACTGAATCAGAGTTTTCTTAGAGGAAAATACTGAGTAAAATGAAAATGTAGCCTAGTGCAGTGAAAATAAAATCTTTGATTCTGGTTCTGGCTCTACCATTTTATAACAGCATGTGACCTTAGGTAATTGCTAAATTTATTTGCCCTTTTATCTCATAGAACCAAATGAATTAGGTATTTAAAAACACTTTAAAAGCTACAAAGCACTAATAAGATAATATTATTCTCTACAAGAGGCAACTGCTTACATTTCTCATTTTAAAATATAAATTTCCCTAAAAATATATAGGAAATTTAATTTTCCCTAAAAATAACATTAAAAGTATGTTTGGATGTTATTTAGTAAGAAACACCAGAAGTTTTTCTGCTAAAGACAGAAACAAGATAAGGATACCTAAAATCTCCATTATTATTTAATGTGATGTTGAAGATACTAGTCAATGCAATTAGACAAGGAAAAATAATTAGAAACATGAGAATTGGGAATAAAGAGGCAAAAGTTATCATTACATACAGATGATATAATTATAAATCTAGACAACACAAAGAAGTCTACTGAAAAGTTACAATTTCATAAATAGTAAGTTATAAAAAACAACATACCAAAATCAATATACTACACATAAATATAAATCAGTCAGAAGACATGAGAAAGATGATGTTTAGGTAACAGAAAAATATGAAACAAAAATATCTAATCATAGATTTAGAAGAACATGCCCAAAATCTATATGAGGAGTTATAACAGGCCAAATAATGAACACTCAAAGATACCACTCTAGAACCTATAAATGTTATTACCTTATAAGAAAAAAAAGTCTTTGCAGATGTGATTAAATTAAGGATCTTGACATGGGGCAAATATTCTGGATGATCTGGGTGAACTCTACATCCAATCACAAATGTTCTTAAAAGAGAGAGACACAGACAGTTGTGAGACAAGCACAGAAGAAATAATGTGGTGGTGGGGGGGCAGTGGGCAGAGATTAGACCCATTTGGCTGTAGTCAAGGAAAGCTAGCAACTGTCAGAAACTGCACCAGGCAAGGAACGTATTCTTCCCCTGACCTTCCAGAGGTAGCCTATACCTTGATTTTGGCTCATGAAACTAATTTCAGACTTCTGATCTCTAGAACTGTGAGAGAATAAACTTCTGTTGTTTAAAACCACCATGTCTATGGTAAGTAATGATAGCAGTCACAGCAAACTAAATAGAAATATAATTAAAATCTTTTGAAAGATACAAACTTCAACAAATGGAATGATGTGCCAAATTCTCAGACAAGAAAATTCAACATCATAAAGATGTTTAGATGTCATATACTCCCTATTAATTTATGCATTTAATGTGCTACTAAAAATATTATTTTTTTCTGGAATTAGAAAAATTGATTATGAAGTTCATGTGGAAGAATAAGAATACTCAGGAAAATAAAGGGTGGCCCCACCAGACATTAAAATCAGATATTAAACTATATTATAAAGCCTCTATAATAAAAATAGTACAGCACTGGCACATAAATACATGAATGGAATCAAACAGAAAAGACAGAAACAGACCCATTTGCACATGGAAAAATAGCCCAAAAAGAATGAAGGTTTCAATTTTAAAACTATTTCAGCTAGTAAAGTGATTTATAATTAAATATCATTTTGCAGTAATTTTCTTTTTTTATTATTAAATCATAGCTGTGTACATTAATGCAATCATGGGGTACAGTGTGCTGGTTTTATATAAATTTGAAATATTTTCATCAAACTGGTTAACATAGCCTTCATGGCATTTTCTTAGTTATTGTATTAAGACATTTATATTCTACATTTAGAAAATTTCACATGTACCCTTATAAGATGCACCATAGGCGTGGTCCCACCAATCACCCTCCCTCCACCCATCCTGCCCTCTCCCCTCCTCTCCCTCTCCCCTTTCCCCGTATTCTGGGGCTATAATTGGGTTGTAGCTTTCATATGAAAGCTATAAATTACTTTCATAGTAGGGCTGAATACATTGGATACTTTTTCTTCCATTCTTGAGATACTTTGCTATGAAGAATATGTTCAAGCTCCATCCATGTAAACATGAAGGAGGCAAAGTCTCCATCTTTCTTTATGGCTGCATAATATTCCATGGTGTACATATACCACAATTTATTGATTCATTCATGGGTCAATGGGCACTTGGGCTTCTTCCATGATTTAGCAATTATGAATTGGGCTGCAATAAACATTCTGGTACAAATATCTTTGTTGTAGTGTGATTTTTGGTCTTCCAGATATATACCTAGTAGAGGAATTACAGGATCAAATGGCAGGTCTATTTTTAGTTCTCTAAGTGTTCATTCTCCAAACATCTTTCCAAAAGGAACATATTAGTTTGCATTCCCACCAGCAATGTAGAAGTGTCCCCTTTTCTCCACATCCACGCCAGCATCTCTGGTTTTAGGATTTTGTGATGTGGGCTAACCTTACTAAAGTTAGATGATATCTCAAAGTAGTTTTGATTTGCATTTCTCTGATGATTAAGGATGATGAGAATTTTTTCATATGTCTGTAGGCCGTGTGCCTGTCTTCTTCAAAGAAGTTCCTCTTCAAGTCCCTTGCCCGCCCTGATATGGGATCACTTGTTCTTTTCTTGCTAATACGTTTGAGTTCTCCATGGATTCTGGTTATTAAACCTTTGTCAGAGACATAACCTGCAAATATTTTCTCCCATTCTGAGGGCTGTCTGCTTGCTTTACTTACTGTGTTCTTGGCTGTGCAGAAGCTTTTCATTTTGATCAGGTCCCAGTAGTGTATCTTTGATGTTGCTTCAATTGTCCAGGGGGTCCTCCTCATAAAATATTTGTCCAGGCCAATATCTTCAAATGTTTTCCCTACACTTTCTTCTAGTATTTTTATAGTTTCATGTCTTAAGTTTAAATCTTTAATCTAGTGACAGTCTAGCTTAGTTAATGGTGAAAGATGTGGGTCCAGTTTCCGTCTTCTACAGGTTGCCAGCCAGTTCACCCAGCACCATTTGTTAAATAGGGAATCTTTTCCCCACTCAATGTTTTTAATTGGCTTGTCAAAGATCAG